CACACACACACACAAGGACCTGCTTCAGTTTTATGTGTTGTAATAAAGCAGACGTGATGTTTGTTCACTTTAATCAGCATCTGTTGAACAGCAACGAGTCGGTGACATCTGAACACACACACACTCACACACACACTCTCTCTCATGTGTTTCATTAATAATCTCATGTTTTTGATAATTCAATTCTCTCATATAACCATGTTCAACATCTGAGGCTGAGGAAACTCACACGCAAAGCAGATAGCATACACACACTCACACACAAACACACAGAGCAGATATCACACACATATGCACACATAAACCCATACAAAGCAGACAGTACACACACACACACACACAAACACACACAGATAAAAACACAAACAAAACCACTCAGATGCATGCAACAAACCCTACATACACACGTACACATGCACACAGTCACTCATACACACATATACAAACATGCATTGAACATATGTGTGTCTGCTGTGTGTGTATGTAGGCTTTGCTGGGTGTGTGTGTGTGTGTGTCTTGAGCGTATATGTGTATGCTCATGTTCCCTCTGTGTTCTGCAGGTGGAGAAGCAGCGAGCGGATCTCAGTCGTGAACTGGAGGATCTGACAGACCGACTAGAGGAAGCAGGAGGAGCCACGGCCCTCACAGGTACACACACACACACACACACACACACACACACACACACACACACACACATGATGACAATCAACACACACACTTCTGCAACACACAGCTGTCTTTCTGACATGTTAAACTCAGGATCTAGCTTGGGAGATAATGTATGTGCATGCGTGTTAAACGGTGTCTTTAACAGTGTGCTAAAGCATGCAGTGAACATGTTCGAAATCTGCTAAAGCGTGCACAGAGTGTACACAACTGCCATTAGCTCTTGTATAAACCCAAACACACAGATTAAAACAGAGCTTTCAGTAATAAAACTATACATCTATATTAAATCAAAATATAAATTATAAATCAAATACACAGCTGACATTACTGTGAAAATATGTGTGTGCATCTGAGTGTGTGCCAGTTGCTATTGTCAGTTAGTGTGTGTGTCTGTTATTGTCAGTTACTGTGTGTCTGTTATTGTCAGTTAGTGTGTGTCTGTTATTGTCAGTTACTGTGTGTCTGTTATTGTCAGTTAGTGTGTGTCTGTTATTGTCAGTTAGTGTGTGTCTGTTGTTATTGTCAGTTAGTGTGTGTCTGTTATTGTCAGTTAGTGTGTGTCTGTTATTGTCAGTCAGTGTGTGTGTCTGTTATTGTCAGTCAGTGTGTGTCTGTTGTTATTGTCAGTTAGTGTGTGTGTCAGTTGTTATTTTCAGGTAGTGCGTGTCTGTTATTGTCAGTTAGTGTGTGTCAGTTGTTATTGCCAGTTAGTGTGTGTCTGTTATTGTCAGTCAGTGTGTGTCAGTTGTTATTGTCAGTTAGTGTGTGTGTCAGTTGTTATTGTCAGTTAGTGTGTGTCTGTTGTTATTGTCAGTTAGTGTGTGTCAGTTGCTATTGTCAGTTAGTGTGTGTCTGTTATTGTCAGTTAGTGTGTGTCAGTTGTTATTGTCAGTTAGTGTGTGTGTCAGTTGTTATTGTCAGTTAGTGTGTGTCAGTTGTTATTGTCAGTTAGTGTGTGTGTCAGTTGTTATTGTCAGTTAGTGTGTGTCAGTTGTTATTGTCAGTTAGTGTGTGTCAGTTGTTATTGTCAGTTAGTGTGTGTGTCAGTTGTTATTGTCAGTTAGTGTGTGTGTAAGTTGTTATTGTCATTTAGTGTGTGTGTGTGTGTCTGTTGTTATTGTCAGTCAGTGTGTGTCTGTTGTTTTTGTCAGTCAGTGTGTGTCTGTTGTTATTGTCAGGTAGTGTGTGTCAGTTGTTATTGTCATTTAGTGTGTGTGTGTGTGTGTGTCTGTTGTTATTGTCAGTTAGTGTGTGTCTGTTGTTTTTGTCAGTCAGTGTGTGTCTGTTGTTATTGTCAGGTAGTGTGTGTCAGTTGTTATTGTCATTTAGTGTGTGTGTGTGTGTGTGTGTGTGTGTCTGTTGTTATTGTCAGTTAGTGTGTGTGTCAGTTGTTATTGTAAGTCAGTGTGTGTCAGTTGTTATTGTCAGTTAGTGTGTGTCTGTTACTGTCAGTCAGTGTGTGTCAGTTGTTATTGTCAGTCAGTGTGTGTCTGTTATTGTCAGTTAGTGTGTGTCAGTTGTTATTGTCAGTCAGTGTGTGTCAGTTGTTATTGTCAGTCAGTGTGTGTCAGTTGTTATTGTCAGTCAGTGTGTGTGTCAGTTGTTATTGTCAGTCAGTGTGTGTGTCAGTTGTTATTGTCAGTCAGTGTGTGTCAGTTGTTATTGTCAGTTAGTGTGTGTCAGTTGTTATTGTCAGTTAGTGTGTGTCTGTTATTGTCAGTTAGTGTGTGTCAGTTGTTATTGTCAGTCAGTGTGTGTCAGTTGTTATTGTCAGTCAGTGTGTGTCAGTTGTTATTGTCAGTCAGTGTGTGTCAGTTGTTATTGTCAGTCAGTGTGTGTCAGTTGTTATTGTCAGTTAGTGTGTTTCTGTTATTGTCAGTCAGTGTGTGTCAGTTGTTATTGTCAGTCAGTGTGTGTCTGTTATTGTCAGTCAGTGTGTGTCAGTTGTTATTGTCAGTTAGTGTGTGTCTGTTATTGTCAGTCAGTGTGTGTCAGTTGTTATTGTCAGTCAGTGTGTGTCTGTTATTGTCAGTTAGTGTGTGTCAGTTGTTATTGTCATTTAGTGTGTGTGTCAGTTGTTATTGTCAGTTAGTGTGTGTCAGTTGTTATTGTCAGTTAGTGTGTGTGTCAGTTGTTATTGTCAGTCAGTGTGTGTCAGTTGTTATTGTCAGTTAGTGTGTGTCAGTTGTTATTGTCAGTTAGTGTGTGTGTCAGTTGTTATTTTCAGGTAGTGCGTGTCTGTTATTGTCAGTTAGTGTGTGTCAGTTGTTATTGTCAGTTAGTGTGTGTGTCAGTTGCTATTGTCAGTTAGTGTGTGTCTGTCTGTTATTGTCAGTTAGTGTGTGTCAGTTGCTATTGTCAGTTAGTGTGTGTCTGTTATTGTCAGTTAGTGTGTGTCTGTTATTGTCAGTTAGTGTGTGTCTGTTATTGTCAGTTAGTGTGTGTCAGTTGTTATTGTCAGTTAGTGTGTGTCAGTTGTTATTGTCAGTTAGTGTGTGTGTCAGTTGTTATTTTCAGGTAGTGTGTGTCAGTTGTTATTGTCAGTTAGTGTGTGTCAGTTGTTATTGTCAGTTAGTGTGTGTCAGTTGTTATTGTCACTTAGTGTGTGTCAGTTGTTATTGTCAGTTAGTGTGTGTCTGTTATTGTCAGTTAGTGTGTGTCAGTTGTTATTGTCAGTCAGTGTGTGTCAGTTGTTATTGTCAGTCAGTGTGTGTCAGTTGTTATTGTCAGTCATTGTGTGTCAGTTGTTATTGTCAGTCAGTGTGTGTCAGTTGTTATTGTCAGTTAGTGTGTGTCTGTTATTGTCAGTCAGTGTGTGTCAGTTGTTATTGTCAGTCAGTGTGTGTCTGTTATTGTCAGTTAGTGTGTGTCAGTTGTTATTGTCAGTCAGTGTGTGTCAGTTGTTATTGTCAGTCAGTGTGTGTCAGTTGTTATTGTCAGTCAGTGTGTGTGTCAGTTGTTATTGTCAGTCAGTGTGTGTCAGTTGTTATTGTCAGTTAGTGTGTGTCAGTTGTTATTGTCAGTTAGTGTGTGTCAGTTGTTATTGTCAGTTAGTGTGTGTCAGTTGTTATTGTCAGTTAGTGTGTGTGTCAGTTGTTATTGTCAGTTAGTGTGTGTCAGTTGTTATTGTCAGTTAGTGTGTGTCAGTTGTTATTGTCAGTTAGTGTGTGTCTGTTATTGTCAGTTAGTGTGTGTCAGTTGTTATTGTCAGTCAGTGTGTGTCAGTTGTTATTGTCAGTTAGTGTGTGTGTCAGTTGTTATTGTCAGTTAGTGTGTGTGTCAGTTGTTATTGTCAGTTAGTGTGTGTCAGTTGTTATTGTCATTTAGTGTGTGTGTGTGTGTGTGTGTCTGTTGTTATTGTCAGTCAGTGTGTGTCTGTTGTTTTTGTAAGTCAGTGTGTGTCTGTTGTTATTGTCAGGTAGTGTGTGTCAGTTGTTATTGTCATTTAGTGTGTGTGTCAGTTGTTATTGTCAGTTAGTGTGTGTCTGTTGTTTTTGTCAGTCAGTGTGTGTCTGTTGTTATTGTCAGGTAGTGTGTGTCAGTTGTTATTGTCATTTAGTGTGTGTGTGTGTGTGTGTGTCTGTTGTTATTGTCAGTTAGTTTGTGTGTCAGTTGTTATTGTCAGTTAGTGTGTGTGTCAGTTGTTATTGTCAGTTAGTGTGTGTGTGTCGGTTGTTATTGTCAGTCAGTGTGTGTCAGTTGGTATAGCGTTGTGTTCAGAGCTGATGGTGTGTGTGTGTGTTTGCAGATGGAGATGAACAGGAAGCGTGATCTGGAGCTGCAGCGGCTGCGGCGGGAGCTGGATGAGTCTGCGCTGCAGGCCGATGCAGTTTCAGCAGCGATGCGCAAACGCCACAGCGATGCACTGTCAGAGCTCAGCGAACAGTGCGAGAGTCTGCAGAGAACCAGAGCCAAACTGGAGAAGGAGAAACAGAGCCTGAGTCTGGAGCTGGACGAGCTCACACACACACTCGACACACTGCAGAAGAACAAGGTAATGACACACACACACACATACACACACACACACTCGACACACTGCAGAAGAACAAGGTAATGACACACACAAACACCGACACACTGCAGAAGAACAAGGTACACACACACTGACAACAACTGACTCACACACTCAACGCATTGCAGAAGAACAAGGTACTGACACACACACACTGACAGCAACTGACACACACACTTAACACTGCAATAGAACAAGGTACTGACTACTACTGACACACACACACATAGATTGACAGACTGAGAACAACTGACAACAAATGACACACTACTGACACATACTAACTGACAAAAACTCAACACACAGTTGAAAACAACTGACACACACACACACACACACACACTTTACTATTTATAATGAATGATATTATACTCCATCAGGTGAACACTGACACACAGCTGAAGAAGCTGGAGGATCTGCTGTATGAGGCAAACACCAAGAATGAAGAGCTGCAGAAAACCCTGAGCGAGAGCACTGCGGCCAAAAACAGGCTCACAGGTGACAACACACACACACACACACACACACACACACACACACAGCGCTGAATTTGTTTGTCCATTTTAGCAGTATATTAATGTAATGAGTGTGTGTGTGTGTGTGTGTGTGTGTGTGTGTGTGTGTGTGTGTGTGTGTGTGTGTGTGTGTGTGTTTTGCAGCTGAAAACACTGATCTGGCACGGCAGGTAGAGGAGATGGAGAAGAAGAGCATCCAGCTGAACCGATCCAAAGCCC